CACTACCCCTCTCAACACATCACTGCCCCTCTCAACACATCACTGCCCCTCTCAACACATGACTACCCCTCTAAACACATCACTGCCCCTCTCAACACATGACTACCCCTCTAAACACATCACTACCCCTCTCAACACATCACTACACATCACTACCCCTCTCAACACATCACTACCCCTCTCAACACATCACTGCCCCTCTCAACACATCACTACCCCTCTCAACACATCACTACCCCTCTCAACACATCACTACCCCTCTCAACACATCACTGCCCCTCTCAACACATCACTACCCCTCTAAACACATCACTACCCCTCTCAACAATTCTCTCAACACATCACTACCCCTCTCAAGACATCACTACCCCTCTCAAGACATCACTACCCCTCCCAACACATAACTACCCCTCTCAACACCTATACTACCCCTCTCAACATGACTACCCCTCTCAACACATGACTACCCCTCTCAACACCTATACTACCCCTCTCAACACATCACTGCCCCTCTCAACACATCACTACACATTTCAAATTAAGATGCAGGGGATCCCTGAATATAATACCTGTGTATTCAATCTGAAATATGGTAAAGACATACATACATAAATATATAAATACATAAATAATCCCATCATGTCACCATTACAATGACACTACCTATCTTCAAATCCTGACAATCCTATCTAATGTCAATACTGTCTTCATTTCAAAAGCTTTTTATGAATTTCTTACAATGCAAACTGTTGTCGCCATGTTATACAATCCCAACTAGAGCATTCAAAGCTATCCATCATAATGACAATGCATAATATTACTCATGCAACATCACTGATTGGACAGTGAACAGTTTTCTTTTCTGATTAACACAGCACGCAGTAATAGTCTGAACCACTCTGGACCAGACATGGCAGTGATTGATATTATGAGCAATTTATTAAGTGCCAAATTCAACATGGTGCTAAATCATTATCACCTCCATCAATGAATCAGTTTGCAATCAACTCTTATTCCCAGCTCCCTGGGGAGTACAAAACCCAAGCTGCCTGTAAGACACTGGAAGGTTAACAATGTCATCGAACAAAGTGAGTGAGTGTGTTGTGTTTTACGCCGCTTTTAACAGTATTCCAGTTATATCACGGTGTGTCAGCTTAATGTGGGAGGACTTTTACCACTTCGGTGAAACCCACGAGCACGGGTATGGTGCTGACAAACCTAGAAACATAATCAAGGCGAACCGGGATTCGAACCCACAATCATAGGTTTCTGGCGTGCCCAAGGGACACAACTCTGCACAGTGAATCGCGGCCCCAGACGACTGGACCACCCGTGCCCCCCATCGAACAAAGTCACATGCCTAAGGAGACACCAAATGTGCTTCAGTGTGGGACCAGACAAGCCCAAGAGACTCTCAGGCATGAAGCTGCTGAACTCTCTGAGACCAATCGGTGTAGGTTCTAACACAGTTATTACTTGCTTGATAACGGTGTTAAAACCTACACAGAATCTTCGCTTTTAATTGTAATAAAGAAGTTGTTCATCCATAAATCCTATCCTTACTTAGTACTCCAACTTCTAAATGCCTATCAAAGAAGTTGATAACATCACTGTGTTAGTGTTGTACATGCTCCAGATATTACACCAGCCCACAGTCCAATAGGGAAGTGGTCACAGGGCAATGTTTTTGGGGTGAACAAATGCATGTAATTGTTCTCAAGATGCAGGAAACTACATGAGGACACAGAGAGAGTCATGTCCTACACCATTGTTCTGTAATATCTCCACATCATCATCACATTCTTCAGGTTTGACACCTTCAATACAATAAGCCTTACCCTCAAAAGATTTCATGGGTGCCACCAGACTCACTTCCTTCAAGGTAATGTCAAACTATGTTAAAATAAAACTGATGGGATTACTATAACAACAGGATTATGACAAGATCATCCCAGCTTAAATCAATACCGGCTATTAGCAATATTTCAGCTGTATCAAGACTAGTAACACCAAGAATGGATGCCACACATATCCATGTGGAGAACTAAACACAGCATCTTCATGACAAGTGCAAGCTTTAACAACGGTCCTATCACAATGACAAGACAAGTGCGTTCAAGTGAGTCAGTGAGTGAGTGAGTGAATATGGTTTTACGCCACTTTTAGCTATAATCCAGCAATATCTGGGTGGGGACACAAGAAATTGGCTTCACACATTGTACCCATGTCAGGAATCGAACCCGGGTCTTCCGCGTGACGAGCGAACGCTTTAACCACTGGGCAACCCAACCGCCCCCAAGTGCGTTCAAACATCATCATCTTCATCATTATTATAATTATTATCATCATTATTATTATCAATGGCATATAACTGCTCAAAAGCCCTTACACCACGATAGATCATATTTATTATAACCCTAGTCACCAGATCAGAATGCACTCAATTTATTTTTTCATTCTCAGCTCCGGGGGAGTATACAACCCAAGCAGCCTGTCAGGCACTAAAAGGCTAACAGTCTCATAACCATCTCATCCTACCGGGTACCCATTCACTGCTGGGTGAACAAACAAAGTCACTTGTGCTTCAGTGTGGGGCAGGGCCGAAGCCCTAGAAACTCTCAGGGGTCATGCTACCAAACACGGTTGCCGAATCCAACTATTCTCTGTGACCAACATTGTTTAACTTCACCAAATTTGTGACCTGTGTGCCGTGCACAGGTGAGGTGAGGTGAGGTGAGGTGAGGTGAGGCGAGGTGAGGTGAGGTGAGGTGAAATGGGGTTTAACGCCGCATTCACCGTGCACAGGACTGTGCCCCTCCAGATCATCACCAGCCAAAATTTATACAGTGAAAAGTGGTCTCATTACCATGAGGGTATTGTATCACTGCTAAAGATGAGGATGAAGGTATTATCCTGGGCTAGTAAACTAGAAGCACATGGTTTGGAAATGAAGAAAACCACCAAAAATTAAAGCTTTTTTTGCACAAGGAAACCTTCATATTCACACAATTCAAACTCGGGATATCAAATAAACCAAAGTGTTCCACATACGAAGGCCTAGCTCTTTACAGATTGACTACAGCCATCTTACAGCCATCCTACAGCCCTTCCCAGTTCTATCACCTGTGCACTATTCACATAAAAGTCGTTGTTATTCAGGGCTGGAGACAAATGGCTGTGTCTCCACCAGGAATGTGAGGATGCCATTAGTAGTGACAGTTTTAAATCTTTTCAGATATCTGGCTGCTAGTTGGACACTGCAATACATCAGCCCCACTGACACACAGGGGCTGCAGGAAAAGTAATTATGACACACATTATGTCGCATGATTACTCTGCTAAACTCACATAAGATTTAGAGGCAAAATATACTACTCAAAAGAAGTGAAAGAACACCCTAATATTTCACATTACTGTTAATGCCACGCCATCACAGGTTAGCTATAGTAATATAAAGAACGGGGCATCCCTAACTTCTTCTGAGTAGTATATTTCAACAAAGTCAAGATTCACCAAAATAACAAAAGCAAATCTTTAGTTTGGAGCAAATTCCAATCCTTCATGTTATGCATACTTCTTCTTCATGTCAAGTCGACAATTCTGTCACTGAGAACATGCTATACTCGAAAACCGATTAGATATTATCAAACTTTATTAATGTGTCCCAACAAGCTGTTTTAGTGCTAGGAATGCTCAAACGTCTATGCTAAAACCTCTAAACTTTAACACAGCTTTCAGCTCAATGCAGACTCAAAAATGCCAAAGCACCAAAAACGTGTTCTAAGCTGTCTTAATGCAAGAACTGTGAGAGGCTCTTTACACCAGGGCTGAAACGATTCACCGATACCTACAATATCATCGATACTAAGGAACAGACAATACTTGAATCATCAGTTTGTGAGACTGTGATATGCTATAAATAGAACAGAGTTCTATTACTGAGTTACCTCCCGTAATGGCAGAAGGAGCATAGCGCAACTTGTAAACATGGTGGAACACAAGGACGTGGTCATAGAGGACGTCACTGCTAATTAACTATTACATCTAATAACCATCCCTTCATTTGAAACTGTTTTGTTCTTGTCTTTTTTTTGGGGGGATAATAATAAGTAGATGTATGAATCCAGAGGTTTTTGAGTTATATTTCAGTGATGTCATCATTTTTTCCTATTTGTTGGTGTATTGTGATACCAGTTGTATTGTCAGTCTGCATCGTGATACCAGTTGTATTGTCAGATACGAGGCGATACTCAGCTCCGTATACACCGTACACTAATCCAGACTTATGTCTCTATACTCTAAGCCATCCATAAGCTCTACACTTTAGTGAGTGAGTGAATATGGTTTTACGCCGCTTTTAGCAATATTCCAGCAATATCACGGCGGGGGACACCAGAAATGGGCTTCACACATTGTACCCATGTCGGGAATCGAACCCTGATCCTCGGCTTGACGAGCAAACGCTTTAATCACTAGGCTACCCGACCTCCCCCTATACTTTAACACAGACAAAGCTCTTTACTCTAACCCAGATTAAATAGAGTTGAAATGCTAGGTTCACAATGTGGAATGATGCATAGCTAACCATTAGCATCTACTGAACAGATTGTTATTCAGACACATAACAGTACTTCAGGCGACTTCAAAGTGCTGCCATCAGTGAGTGAGTTGGTTTAACACCGCTTTGAACAATATTCCAGTTATATCACGGCACGTCAATTTAATGTGGGAGGAAGGCCCAATGTCTCGGACATTTACAACTCTGGTGAAACCCACGAGCACGGGTATGGTGCTGTCAAACCTAGAAACATAATCAGGACCATTCGGGATTCAAACCCACAAACATTGGCTGCCATTAATATTTCAGCTTCCAAATTCATTGCAGCCTTTAAATAATTAGCCCAGTCACAGAGCCTGACCGCCAGATAAATTTAGTTGCCTCTTACAAACAGCAATAGGGTGATGCAGAACGATCTTAAATTCTATTAAATCAAACTGACCTTGGTTTTTTACTTCAGCAAACTCATGATTGTACTCGTCGAGTGTCTCCCGTAGCTGCTTGTTCTCCAGCTCAAGGTCCTGGGCCCGCTGGGCTTTCTTCTGGATCTGCAGCGCATGGTCCAGCACCGGAACAGGGTCTGTTAGAACAGAGCAGAACATGGAGGACTGATGGAGTGACAAGTAGAGACAGGGTCTGTTAGAACAGAGCAGAACATGGAGGACTGATGGAGTGACAAGTAGAGACAGGGTCTGTTAGAACAGAGCAGAACATGGAGGACTGATGGAGTGACAAGTAGAGACAGGGTCTGTTGGAACAGAGCAAAACATGGAGGACTGATTTACAGTGACACAGGGTCTAGCTGGACAAGGAACACAACATGGAGGACTGATCTACAGTGACACAGGGTCTAGCTGGACACAACATGGAGGACTGATCTACAGTGACACAGGGTCTAGCAGGACACAACATGGAGGACTAATCTCCAGTGACACAGGGTCTAGCAGGACAAGGAACACAACATGGAGGACTTATCTACAGTGACACAGGGTCTAGCAGGACACAACATGGAGGACTGATCTACAGTGACACAGGGTCTAGCTGGACAAGGAACACAACATGGAGGACTGATCTACAGTGACACAGGGTCTAGCTGGACAAGGAACACAACATGGAGGACTGATCTACAATGACACAGGGTCTAGCAGGACACAACATGGAGGACTGATCTACAGTGACACAGGGTCTAGCAGGACAAGGAACACAACATGGAGGACTGATCTACAATGACACAGGGTCTAGCAGGACAAGGAACACAACATGGAGGACTGATCTACAGTGACACAGGGTCTAGCTGGACAAGGAACACAACATGGAGGACTGATCTACAGTGACACAGGGTCTAGCTGGACAAGGAACACAACATGGAGGACTGATCTACAGTGACACAGGGTCTAGCAGGACAAGGAACACAACATGGAGGACTGATCTAAAGTGTCACAGGGTCTAGCTGGACAAGGAACACAACATGGAGGACTGATCTACAGTGACACAGGGACTAGCAGGACAAGGAACACAACATGGAGGACTGACCTACAGTGACACAGGGTCTAGTACACGGGACACAACATGGAGGACACCGAGAGACACACCAAACAGTACCTGGCAGATCTATTAATTTCTTGTATATGGAGAGGAATGCTGCCTCTGCTGCCTTGCTGCGTTTTGAAAGAGCGTCGATCTCGCCTTGAAAACTTCTTAAAACTGGAGCTACTATTTTGCGAATGTCCTGCAAGACAAGAGTTCCATTGTAACATCAGCATGGCAACAACATGTAAGAAACACTACAGCAGACATGACACACAAACCAAGATACTTCTTATATTGTATCCCTGTGGGGAGCCCTCGCTGCACAAAAAGACTTTCCAATAACCCCAAAATGTCCAGATCATGCACTCGTTAGATACTGATGTAATGTGTTTGGTTTGGTTTGGTTTGGTTTGGTTTGGTTTGATTTGTTGTTAAATGCCGCACTCAGCAATACTCCAGCTATATGACGGCGGTCTGTAAATAATCGAGTCTGGACCAGACAATCCATGATTGACATCATGAGCATCGATCTACGCAATTGGGATACAATGACATGCATCAACAAAGTAAGAGAGCCCGACCACATGATCCGTTAGTAGCATGTACATGGTAGTGAAGGTCCATGATCCAGTGTATCTGGCAGAGGACAATGATAAGTTAGGCCATGATCCTGTGTTCCATGATCAGCTGAAGGACCATGACTCCTGTTATTATTTAGTGACAATGATTTAATGTGCGTGGTAGTGGGGGTCCATGATCCAGTGTATCTGGCTGAGGACCATGATAAGTTAGGCCATGATCCTGTGATCCACTATGATGTAATGCAAAGTTTAATGAATGGCAATATTTAATTCAAATCCTTCAGTCTTAAATAGCTACATGTACAATTTCCTTGGATGAATTACAGGTTAGCGATATCTTATCATTGAAGTGTGCATGAGTTTCTTGATTCCACAACAGTTTACATTCACAGAACAGCTAATCAAAAAAGCTCAGATAATCATTTGAATAACACTCATGTGCTTTGATAAAAATACTGACATGAAAATTGAATTCTATGAAATTCATATTTTTATCATTCTTTCCATGACAACCGTGACAAATAGACATTTAATTTATATTTGTCAGAGGAAGCGTTGATGGAAATATAGGAGGTAAACACAACCTGATGATGTGGGGAAATCAATATGCCAGTGTATGGCACAGAAGATATAACCAGCAGTATATAATTCAATTTATATGCAATTACCATTTTTACACCGAAATATGACTTCTTACGACAAGCAGAAAGTGACAACTGATGCCTGTCACACAGGGTAGTGTTTTTTGTCCGATCTCCCAGTGGGTGGTCTCCACAATCAATATTTGTCTCCTCATCCTACCCTCAATAGTTCCAAAACATCAACGCTCCTACTGCGGTCCTGTTAAATGCCATTAGTGAGTTATTTACCATTTTGCCATTCTCTTACCCATAACTGTCTGAAATACTGAAATTACAATTAGCTATCCTGACAGACCAAGGCGAAGCTACAAAACAGTACTGCTGCAACTTCAATTTGTCATTTGTAACCCTTCATCCTTGCACCTGTAAATTGAAATAACCCACAAAATATATGCTGCATGTAACCATGAGAATGCATCCTTGAAGCATGCCAGGGTTAGAAATTGGCACTAGTCTTGTAGTCCTTGCCAAACTGTCCAATATTTTAAGTATCATAAGGACTATTAGAAATTTGCAATTTTTAAGGGTTTTCTTATATGGTATCATTATAAGGACTAGAGGACTAAACATGTTAGTTTCTACCGCTGCATGTACCCTCAAAGATGACTACATCTTTGCTGTATCTGTACACTTCATGATGACCCTAAATACATGCTGCAGGTACTCTTAATGATGAACTCTTTCTGCATGTAACCCAGTCACTTACATCCACACACATGCACAAACATGTCACCATACCTTTCTTGTTACCCACTCCACTGGACTACCCTACTGTTCCCACCAGCTTATTTTTACCATCTTTGCCCCACAGTGTTCACTCACTACAGCCCCTTACCCACTGCCCTCTGTCCCCAACTGTTCTCTTCTATTCCTCCGCCACAACATTTCACCCCACAGTGCTCTCCCCCTGACCCCCATTGTCCTTGCCTCTTGAAACCCACTGTTCTCTCTCCTTGTCCTATACTCAAGGCCTCCTCTCCCTTAGCCCCCACTGTCCTCTCCCCCTTGACCCCAACTGCCCCCCACCTCCCGTGACCCCCACTGTCCTCCCTCCCTTGACCCCACTGTCCTCCCTCCCTTGACCCCCCTGGCCTCTCCCCCTTGACCCCAACTGTGCCCCCCCCCCCACCTCCCTTGCCCCCCACTGTCCTCCCTCCCTTGCCCCCACTGTCCTCTCTCCCTTGCCCCAACTGCCCCCCTCCCTTGACACCCACTGTCCTCCCTCCATTGACCCCCACTGCCCCCTCCCTTGACCCCAACTGTCCCCCCTCCTTCATCCTCCACTGTCCTCTCTCCCTTGATCCCCACTTCCTCCCTTGCCCCCCCACTTTCCTCTCTCCCTTGCCCAACTGTCCCTCTCCCTTGACCCCCACTGTCCTATCCCCCTTGACCCCCCCCCCCCCCCCCCCATTGTACTCACTGCCTCTCAATCACCCTTCCCAAAACTTATCCCCAGCTCCCCTCCCCGTCCTTCATTTAGGCGATCACCCAACTGGTTAACATCATTGAGCGAGGCAAAACAATGGCACAGTTTATCCCAGCAAGAGCGGTCTGTAACAAGGAATGTTTATAGAGTAGCAACATCAAAGATTAATGAAAGTGATGCTGGCCCCTCCAACCAAACTTCACCTCCCCTTCAGACGGCCAATAAAAAACCTGATTCCATGCATTATATAAGCAGGAAAAAAGACATCTGCAGCAATAGATTTTCAGTCTCTGCTTCCCTCTCAAATTACCCAGTGATATACCGAGCTCCATGAGCCTGTGGCTGTCTCTGCCCCCCTTTGGTTCGTTATCTCTACTTTAATTAGTTCTATAAACTCCCCACCAGCTTCATTTCCTGTGGACGGTGACTGACTTGACTGGGATATTCAGGCAGAGGGCAATTGTCCTTTCTAATCAAGCCAGACACTGGACTAGGTTCTGGACGGAGACATCATAGGTGTTACAGGGTAGGTCGGATAGTGTGTAGGGTAGATCGGATAGTATATAGGGTAGGTCGGATAGTGTGTAGGGTAAATCAGATAGTATATAGTGTAGATCAGATAGTATATTGGGTAGGTCAAATAGTGTGTAGGTTAGGTCGGATAGTGTGTAGGGTAGGTCAGATAGTGTGTCGGTTAGTTCGGATAGTGTAAGATAGGTCGGATAGTGTGTAGGGTAGGTCAGATAGTGTGTAGGGTAGATCAGATAGTGTGTAGGGTAGGTCAGATAGTGTGTAGGGTAGGTCAGATAGTATTTAGGGTAGGTCAGATAGTGTGTAGGGTAGGTCAGATACTGTTTAGGATAGGTCGTATAGTGTGTAGGGTAAATCAGATAGTATATAGGGTAGGTCGGATAGTGTGTAGGGTAGGTCGGAAAGTATATAGGGAAGGTCGGATAGTATATAGGGTAGGTCGGATAGTGTGAAGGGTAGGTCGGATAGTGTGTAGGGTAGGTCGGATAGTGTGTAGGGTAAATCAGATAGTATATACGGTAGGTCGGATAGTGTTTAGGGTAGGTCGGATAGTGTGTAGGGTAGGTCGGATAGTGTGTTGGGTAGGTTGGATAGTGTGTAGGGTATGGCGGATATTGTATAGGGTTGATCGGATAGTGTGTAGGGTAGATAGGATAGTGTATAGGGTAGATTGGATAGTGTGTAGGGTAGGTCGGGTAGTACAGTCGGTAGATTGGACAGTGTATAGGGTAAGTTTGATTGTGTAGAGGGTAAGTCGGAGAATGTATGAAGTGTGTCGGAGAGTGTATGTCGGATAGCATACAAGGTAGGTGAGATAGTATGTTGAGTGTGTAAGGTAGTATATGAGGGTATGTAGGAGATACCATAGCAGGTGATGTGTGTTCATGTGTCAGGGCATTTTGGACAGTATGTCACAGTGAATAGTACAGAATAGGATATCAGGGTGTGTGAGATACTTCACAGTGTCTCAGGGTGTGTTAGACAGTGTATTAGGGTATGCTGGTTAGAATATTAGGATATGGTGGATAGATTATCAAGGTGTGCTGGATAGAATGTTAGGGTATGCTAACAGAATATTATGGTATGCTGGAAAGAATTTTTGCTGGATAGAATATTAAGGTATGCCGTATGGAATATTAGGATATGCTGAATAGAATTTTAGGATATGCTGGATAGAATACTAAGGTATGCTGGATAGAATATTAGGGTATGCTGAATAGAATTTTAAGGATATGCTGGATAGAATATTAGGGTATACTGGATAGAATATTGGGGTATGCTAGATGGAATATTAAGGTATGCTGTATGGAATATTAGGATATGCTGAATAGAATTTTAGGATATGTTGGATAGAATATCAGGGTACGCTGGATAGAATATTGGGGTATGCTGGATAGAATATTGGGGTATGCTGGATAGAATATTAAGGTATGCTGAATAGAATTTTAGGATATGCTGGATGGAATATCAGCATTAGAAATTGGCACTAGTCCTATAGGCCTTGCCAAACTGCCCAATAGTTAAGGTATCATAAGGACTAGTAGAAATTTGCCATTTTTAAGGGTTTTGCTATATGTTATCATTATAAGGAGTAGTGGGCTAAAACAGTTAGTTTCTATACCTGAATATTAGGGTATACTGGATAGAATATTAAGGTATGCTGGATAGAATATTAGAGTATGCTGAATAGAATTTTAGGATATGCTAGATAGCTTATTAGGGTATGCTGGATAGAATATTGGGGTATGCTGGATAGAATATTGGGGTAAACCTTGATTATTCAGTGTCTTATATTTCCATTCTATCATAATAAATGCCTTAAACCCATTAGTTAGTTGTTTTGTTGTTTAATGCCGCACTCAGCAATATTCCAGCTATATGACGGCGGTCTGTAAAATAATCGAGTCTGGACCAGACGATCCACGCTATTGGGATCGATGACATGTATCAACCAAGTCAGCAAGCCTAACCACCCGATCCCGTTAGTCACCTTCTACGACAAGCATAGTCGCCTCTTACG